GTCTACACTCTTCACTACACCATGCCACTTATTTTTCCTCTTGAGCCATCATGATGTGTCCACACCCCCATACATCATTTTGACAATGTCTCTATGTTAACTTTTTGTCATGACATTCATGTTGTTTATAACATTCTCCATTAAATTTTCATAGTGGCATCCATCTTATCTGGTAACTCCATTAACTTTACGTCACGACATCTATCTTGTTTGATAACCACTCTATGTTAACTTTCTACACACTCAAAGCTCCCCAATAACCCTACTTACAACTTTTACCATAAAGAAATACTTACGGTTTTACATGAGTACCATAACCCAATCTATGGCAACCAATCATTTGGAATGTGACTAGTATTTCTATGTGCTAGCCCAATATATATTGAGATAATATGATTCATGGATACCATACAGTGATGGATACAATAAATATCCACCATGTAAGTTTTGCAAATTATGGTGGCAAGCAAGCAAGCTACTAGAAATCAATTGTTGTAACCAATAGTATAGATTGGCAATGGTATTACTTCATTCCCATGTGTCCCAAAGTTCTTGAAAAGGAACGACAATGTCTTCTAATTATTTGCAATTCTAGTATTTGAGAAACTTTGCTAATGGAACAATGTGTGAAGTGGTATGGGCATGGTGGGTACAATAGTGGTCCCCTATACCCAGACCCATGCACATCACACTTGTTCACACTCTTCACATTGCCACTACCATTTGTTCTTGCTCCTATAGGTTGTAGTGACGTGTTTATTCCCTATAGGTTGTAGTGACATGTTTGTTCTCACTGTCATCATGCTTTATAACTGCTCTATATTCCTCACGGCACGCATAATACTTGATAACGGCTCTGCATTAACTTTCTATTGTGGCATCCAGCTTGTTTGATAACTAGTCCCTACCCACTTTCCCTTAACTCTGCCATTTGAAATTTGTGCAGCATCAGGACGTATTAGTCATGATGTGTGTGAGCCTAATATGTTGAAGGAATATGATTTATGGAACCTATTTGTTGATTTCTACATAATCATCAATATTGAAAGAAATTAGTGGTCATAACTCCTCATTTCTACAACTATGTGGATCATAACACCTACTGACCTACTTGACCTGGACCCTCAGAGACTTGACAGAGTCGATCCCCACCACAACCCTCGTCTCCTTCTATAAAGACCAGACCTCTCCTCAGTCATAGAGCACCAACAACAGCAACCCCACTCAGTGTTGAGTGTTCTGTCACCTAAGAGTACATCCCTGTCCCACCACCAAGTTGCATGCCCTTATGCAAACCAAGAACTTCTGTTGTTTGAGGTTGAGGTGTCCTAGTGTTTAGCGCCCATGGAGAATAGTAGTAGCAATGGTAGCTTGTTCATGTCCACGGTAGGCATAGGCGTAGGATTGGGTGTCGGCCTTGGCCTGGCGTCGACACAACTCATGGCATCTTCGCCAAGAGGGGACGGGACCTTGGGTGGCAGCCAACAGCTGCAGATATCGAATCAGAGCTTCGACGCCTCCTTATCGACGAGCAAGAGACCAAAATTTCCTTTTCTGACTTCCCGTATTATCTCAGGTGCGTGTGTGGTTTTTACATTCTTTTTACCCACCTTGTTTTGATTGGGAAAATAACTAGCGATCTAATTAGTCTATAGTTATGTTGGATTGATTGGTAGGATTAGGGTGGCTACTTTAGGGATCGTATCAATTTGGGTCAAAAGAAATTAGAATCATGTTTGATGAACCATAAATTATTAGGATTTTGTCCCCCCTATTTCTTAGCGAGGAAATGAGGATGGTGCTCATGAGCGCAGCATTCCCCTACCTGAGTCAAACTATTCTGCCAAAGCACATCAAAGTACTCAAGGACTCAAGCCACACCATACTACTTTGCTGTCAATCAGGTTTGCTTACACATACATGCATGCTCTTTTCGGTTGGATCATGTTTTGACAACACGATGTCTTGCTACAAAGGCATGCCTACGGTCACTTGCCAAGGCCATTGCCAACCAATTCAATGCACATCTATTAGCACTAGATATCTTCAAGTTCTTGCATCAGGTCAGCTTGATACTATTTGGATGGTAGTTTTGCTTTCCCCTTTCCCTAATATTACCATAAACCTCTTCTTGTCATTGAATAGATCTAGCACAAATATGGTGGCTCAAGCAATGCACATGTCGAAGTTGGTTCTTGTTTCACCTTCTTATTGATTTACATAGATAATACCTTTAGTTTGTATGGTACATTTTATTGATGATTTTGAGTATAGTGTTTTAGTTGATTGGGTGGTCCTACATTATCTTTTCATATAATTGATTGATGGGTGCCAATATCACCACTCTTTGTAGTCACATTGTTGGACATTTCCCCTATTACAAAACATAATCAGAAGTAAGTTGGCTTCAAGCTTCACATGAGCTATGGGGTCCTTGGAAAAGGACAACAATAGTTTGTCCACATCTAACACTTGGAGACATTTATGTATATATTTTTTTAATTCTGGCAATGCGCCAAACTTTTGATGATTTAACTAACCGACTCTTGTCCATTCTTGATCTAGGTTCCTATAAGATCCAAAACTATGTCGGCTTTGGAAAAGTGTATGATTTTGTTGGATCTTTAAGCATATTTTGCAAGAAGGATGAGTCAATAGGTATCAAATTATTATTCTTTTTGTCTAATACTAGTTAATTTCTGGCTTCTTCTTGTAGACCAATATTTATGATGTGATGTATGCAACCTTTGTTTTTCACACAACTTTTCCTATAAACTTCTTTGCTTGTTACACGCGTCTTGTAAGTCATAACCAAGCATGGTATTATGATTGTGTTGTCATGAAATATTGTTGCAGGATCAGTGGATCATGTAAAGGGTAATCGTGATTTAAACACAAGGTAACACATCTGTGGTGTAATGAAACTTGTCCTCTGATAATAGTTTGTCCCTTTTTACCATTTTTTTGGTCTTTGTCAACAGTTGTGTTCGTTGTAAGAACATGAAGTCAGTTGGGGAATACACGTCCTTATTATCTAATGAAAAGAACAAAGACTCAGAATCCAGTGATGATGATGATGGTGGTGGTGGTGGTGGTGGTGGTGTTGGTGGTAGTGGTGGTGAGCCAAAGTTCTTATTTACTACCTCATCTGTGCCACAACTATTTTCATGCATGAGACAAATTAATAAAAACATGACTGCTGGCTTCCATCAATTTCTAAGAAACTATGACTTGGTAAACTAAAATGGTCTATTTATACCAATTCGTCCAACTTAAATTTTAAGCTTAAGGCTTTTCTACATTATCCATAAATTATGTTTCTTATTTTGGATGTAGTATACTATTGATAGCAAGGAACAATTTGCATGCATGAGTTACTTATGGTTCCTTTTTCTAATGAAGGTTTTAGTGCTCCAGTCTGGAGCTTGGATGTGAAAATTCTCTTACAGTGCCTTTACAAGGTAAATCAAGATCCACATGCATAATTAACGATGGAATGTAGTACTTGTATTATGAATTGATATATTAAACCAATTTTGCAGATCATTGTTTTGGCTTCTGCATGTAGCCCAGTTATTCTTTATACCAGGGATGTTGATATTATCCTTCGTAGTTCACCAAGAGCATTTTGTATGTTTGAGAAGATGTTGAACAAACAATTTGGAAGAGTTTTGATAATCGGTTCGCACTTCCTTGATGACAATCAAGATAGTGATGACATTAATAAGGATCTGACTGATCTATTCCATACATCCTGGAGACTAGGCCTCCCAATGAAGAGGCTCATCTTTAGAGATGGACAAGACAAATGTGAAATGATATGATAAAAGCTCGTGATGAAATCCTTAAACATCAAATTGTAGGGGGTTTGTCATCATACAATTTGGAGTGTGATGATTTGAGTTCTATCTCCCTAGATGATTATGTAGAAATTGCAAGTTACCTAGAGGATATTTTAGCCCCAGCAGTCTCATACCATTTGATGAATAACCAGGACCCTAAGTACAGAAACGGGAGGCTTATTCTATCTTCAACGAGGTTAGTTAATTTATCTAGAATTCATGATGAACCATTTGTTAGTCTTTTTAACGTACTTTTGGTAACAACATCATTCTTGAGCAGTTTATGTTATGGATTAAGAATTTTTCAAGAAAGTAACCTTGAAAAAGATTCAGTTGAAACAAAAGACGACTCAAAGGTATCCCATATTTTTCATTAAGCAACAATGTTTATGCTTTTCTCATTTCCTGATGTAAAGGAAACAATATAATATTCTACTCATAGAAATAGTAAAAGATGATGTATTTACCATTTACATATTTGCCTATTGCCTTATAGGTCACTAAATACAACGAATATGAAAAGCGGATAAGAGAATTAGTGATCCCTGCTAGTAAAATAGGAGTGACATTTGATGACATTGGAGCGCTAGCTGATATCAAAGAATCAATTCGGGAGCTTGTCATGCTTCCACTTCAACGGCACGATCTCTTCAATGGTGGTCTATTAAAACCATGTAGGGGAATTCTATTGTTTGGACCACCTGGAACGGGTAAAACTATGCTTGCTAAAGCTATAGCCAATGAAGCTGGTGCTAGCTTCATGAACATCTCAATGTCTACCATCATGTCCAAATGGTGTGGAGAGGCCGAGAAGAGCATCCAAGCATTGCTCAGTTTAGCTGCCAAAATTGCACCAGCCATCATTTTCATGGATGAGGTAGACGGCAAGCTAGGGACACGCGAACGTTCAAATGAAAATGAGGTATCAAGGAGGATCAAGAATGAATTCATGATGCATTGGGATGGAGTCTTGTCCAAACCAAGTGAAAAGATTCTAGTCCTCGCCTCAACAAACCGACCTTTTGACCTTGATGATGCAATCATCAGGCGGTTTGAGCACAGGTGTGTTTAAAACTTTGTTGTTTCTAAAATTTATGATCTTGATTAAATTACATCATCTCTAGACTATTCACTGATGTATCATGCGGCTTCAAATAGGATAATGATTGGTCTCCCTACTCTTGAGAGTAGAGAGCTAATTTTGAATAAGTTGTTGTCCAAGGAAAACATTGAAGGTATCGACTTCAAGGAACTTGGCAAAATGACTGAGGGATACAGCGGTAGTGATCTAAAGGTTCGCATGCTAATCTTAATGTTCATTATTCGAAGGTCATTCTTTGTTTTACTAAAGCTCTATTTCCCTAGAATCTTTGTGTGGCGTCCGCTTATCGTCCTGTTCAAGAGCTACTTTAGAAAGAAAAACAAATGAAGAAGGTAAGACAAAGGACAAACAAAACCCCTTCTTAAATTTTAATGAATTGTACCAAGGATTATTATTTTTCATAGTTAAGAGGCACAGACTTTGTTGATTGAAACATGTAGGAATATAACGTGTCAATGAAAAAGGGTAATAAAGATATCAATATAGATATTGTCAACATTTGATGCCAGAGTCACATCATGTTACATGATATGATTATGTTTATTTCTTAGGACAAGAAGGAAAAGGAAGTGAAAGGGAAGAATGTGCGTGTTGAGAACCCACAAAATGAAGAAAGTAAGAAGGAAAAGTCAAAAGACAGCAAAGACATGGAAGCCATTTCAGAGGAGGGCGACGAGGATGAAATCGATGAGGTAATCACCCTTAGGCCATTAACCATGGAGGACCTGAAGCAGGCCAAAGATGAAGTAAGTGTTGCGAACCAATTTGCATGTTTTATAGCCTACAACTTATGATTTTATATTATTATTTGGTAGACCTTATTACCAAGGGGACAAACTGATAAACTATTGTGAATCTAACACTACATAGGTCTCTGCAAGCTTTGCTAGTGATGGTGTAGTCATGAATGAGATCAAGCAATGGAATGAGCTATATGGCAAAAGTGGGTCAAGGAATAGACAAAACCTAACATACTTCCTGTAGTAAATGGTTCTTAGTTATGTTGTCACCCCTATTATTCCTTTGATTTGTATGGAAATAACACAATGTTTGCGGTTGCCATTCAAGTTGGCCTATGTATCCATTTAAGATTGGTTTTCTACAAGAGAAGATATTATGTGTAACTTCTTTATTGCCGACTAAAGTCCAAATGTTATGTATTCTAGTGTTCCAATCAAAAAGGTTCATTTTCACTTTGTTGTTGGAACTATATTGATTCTAGGCACTTAGGTTAGCCTAAAGTTGTGCAGGTCGATGGATCTTCTACTAGGAAGTGCTCAAGCTTCAACATATCAGCATACAGCTAAATTCTTATAGCTTGTCAGGCCACTTCCTTAGAAACACCAATAAGCTTTATGCCTAGACCCGCACCTCATTCGGATAGTTGTCATCAATGCAATAGTTCTAGTTCATGATGATGATGGGGCAACTGCACATTGTGCAGGATGGCATTATCGAAGACAATGATGCATGAGCATAAGACTACCTTCGTCACCATCACATTCTATTCTACGAAACCTTTCCCATGTCTCCATGGCTCTCCAAGCTATGATGTGACACAAACAATCATCACACACATGAGTGCAACTCTAAATAGAGTTGTCAAACTACAAAAGAAGATAAAAATACCTCTTATGCCATGGTCTAAGTCGTAAGAGTTGTGTTTGACCAACATATTAGATTGATTGCAATGAACCACAATTTTCCACAAAGGAAAATCCATAGTATTACAACAAAGTGATAGTCTAAGGAGTAGCGCTGGCATATGTATTACCACCACAACTGGCTCCACAATCATACATAGTGTTCAAATACCTCTATTAAGGGTACAAATAGGGGTCTTTACCATTATTACAAGTCCATGTGGACTATCAAAAAGATTGTGGTCATCATCCACAACCATAGGATGTAGACTGTCATGTGTCCCAACCATTGTGGTCTAATTCGTACTCACGCTCATCTCTTTAAACCAAGATATTTTAGTATGATTTTGTACTGGCCAATGCCCAACCCAATGATGCTATTGCTTTGGGGGTAAGTAGTATGCAAGGGCTCTTTCATAGTATTTGGCTCTAGGGTAGCCCTAGAAAATGAGTAAAACATAAGTGTGCATGTGTGGCAGAACCGCCTAATCTAATGCCCTCCCAAGAGTACTTATCTTTCATTAGACACTAAGTACCCAAGAGAGTGCACTAAATCGTGTTGTTCCGTCGAGCACACCCCAAGGGAGAACTCGAAAATCCACATTTTGCATCAGGATCATAAATGAGAGAATAAAGCTTACAACATTCTTAAATCGTTTCTTACATCACTTTATTACAGTACCAGAATATTACCTCTATTTATTATAACAGCGGAATATAACAATGTTATTAGAGTTATAGAGGAAGCAAGATTAATTTAATGACATAATGGAGCATTAACATCATGGACATTTTTATACAAGAGATGCTAGCAGATTTTACATTTTTCTTATAAAAATCTTTAGTGAGAGTTATAAATAAACACTATGGTCGTAGCATGAAAGGAATCCTCTCTGAGCCCACCAGGAGGTTTCCACACACAAGAGTCAGCTCTAAATATTCTCCAGTCACCTACAACAGGGGGAATAAAACCCTGAGTACTTGATTGTACTCAGCAAGACTTACCCGACAGGAGAAAAATAAAATACTCCAAGGATATGTAAGGCTCATTTGGCTGGTGGGTTATTGCATCTGCGGAAGCATTACTAAACGTGCGTCCTTATATTCAATTTTATTAGCAATCATCATTAGTTCATTAACTAACTATTCTATGTAAGCACCTATGCTACTTTCAAGCAGGTGGTAAGCCATTAGAACCATTTTACCCTTTTTCATATTCCAGTTCTTACTACGGTGCTAGACCGTAGACAAGTCGGTACCGTCTCATAGAAATGGCAATTCGTGAATCAATATATCCCAGATGGGTACCCCGAAACACACGCCCCATTTGTATCCTAGGCACAAACAAGACCAACCCATTCCACTCCTATCAAGGGGTCTAGGTCCCTGTCCAAACATGGACTCCAAGCCCCACACTTGAGACCCGATCTCAGTTGGTGCTTAGACCTCCACCTTTCCCTATCTCCAATCAGTCGGTCCGGAAAGAGCCGGAACCCACGACAAGAGCATAACGAGCCTTCCCGCTCCCATAAACAAGTATGTGCTCAGGATAATAAGTCTGTGACCTGACTACCATCCACAACAACGGACGGTCCTCAATCAACACAGGCGGAACACGTGCAATCCGAGCCTCGCTCGGATGCCTAACCAAGTCCAGATCCAAAGTACCATTCCGTCCGGTCTCTAATTATCATCCATATATATATTCCATGTGATAGTAATATAATAACAACAATAATATCTTTCTTGTCTCTCGCGAGTGACAGGTAATCACTCGACTTCTACCAAATCATGTAGCATAGCAATCTATACGATCCTGACATACTAGTAGGACTCATAGGATAATGATATATATATATATATATGCAAGTGGTTTTCATTCAACTCCTTAAAACTTAATGCATAAGCATAAGATAAAGTGCAGAATAATAGGGGTTATGCACCGGGGCTTGCCTGGCTAAGATATAACCAAAAGTTAGCTTTCCATCATAGTGACATGATCATCAAGGCACCATCTTTTCCGCTACCTCGGTCGACTCCATGATCCATCGTTGCTCCTATTATGATATACATGGATGCAACGTAGAGATGCAATTAATCAATGGTAACTACAACTCTAAAACATGATTATGCTCCGCAAGCTAAAGAACTAGTTTTAATGACTGACGTACTAGTCTTCGTATCCATGTCGTCAAGTAAGGCTTCGCCTCCGGAAAAATATTTTAGTTCTAAAATCCTAAGGTGTTTTGGCATTTTATTGATTAAACATATATTTTCAAACTAGGATTCATTTAGCTACCTAGCAACTAATTATTATGGAGCTACAAAAATTACAGTGAGCACCCAATAATATTAGAAATTTACTGTGAAAGTTTCAGAGCCAACACTATCACCAATTTATCATAAAAATTCCTACAAGTTTATATCTTACAATATTAAGCATCTTAAATTAATTAGATAACTCCTGAAAATATTATAAAACTATATGAACAAAACATACTAGCAGATAGATCATGAGTGGTTTCACAATTTTTAGTTAACTACACAATTTTATATTGAATTTACAAGTTTACCTTAGAAACTAAATTAGAAAAGGCTTAGAAAAGGAAAAGGACCGGTGGCAACCATTTGTCCTAGCAGCCTAGCCTGGCCTAACGCGGGACGCCGACGCGTGCAGCAGGCCGGCCCAGCGACCTAGCACGGAGCGCGGCCCATGTGCGAGACGGCCCACGGCGGGGAGCCCGCGTTGGCACTTTAGCAAATGAGCCCTCGAACTTTTTCCGAATCACAACTAGGTGCTAATACTATTTCTTCCTTTCTCTGGCGAATTCACTTAACCCCCTGGATTTTTCTAAATTTCCCCACGCGCACCCCCAGTCATCCCGTGCACGGTGGGGCGGCGAGCGGGGCACTGGGCGTCCACGCCGGCCACTAGAGGCCTGCGCGGACCCACTTAGCGGGTCGGTCGCCATCTACGGTTAAACGCGCTACAATGGGCGGCAGTTAGGGACTCAGAGACGTACTAGCGTGAGCTGCAGCGGTGAGTGGCTATCTGCGGCGGTGGCGTGACTGTTCCGGCAAGTCTACGCCCTCACGGCAAGGTAGAGATGGTGGAGAAGCATCCGTAGCTCACCGTGGTGTACGCCCTACTGAGGGATGAAGCTAGGAAGCGCTGTGGCGGTCTGGCCACGTGCGAGCTGCCAGGATGGCAATGCTCTAGGATGGACACCGACGCGTCACCCCACCATCGTCGAGAACCCTGGCCAAAATTACGTGAGCACCGGATAGAGGGAGTCAAGGCGAGCTCAGGGTTACGAGCAATCGAACTGCCACCACTCCTACATGCCTTACCTCCCAACCTACCGATTCGGCGGCGCCTATGACCGGCGACGAGCAAAAGGCCAAATTGTCGGTCGATATTGATCGGCCGGGCTTGAGGAGGACAGGGCGCGTAGCTGACTACCTATGCCACCCACTGATGTAGGGAATTACGCTATGATGTTCTGGCTTGCCCGGGTGACGTGTGGGAGGGCGTCGTCGTCCTCGATG